CCCCAAAACCCCAAAACCCCAAAACCCCTGGCATATAATTTAAAGCTGAATCGAATAGAAAATAAATAGAGGATGCAAATGTAAGAAAGATGAAAAGATCAAGAGGAGAAAGGCTTTCTATTTTACCTCAAAATTTTAATTGCTTTTAGAATTTCAGTTCCTTGCTTACTATCTCTATAAATCCTCCTTTTTCTATTGCCTGGTGGGCGTAAGCATCAGTGTGCTTGAGAGCATGAAAAAGTACTTTTTCTGTAATCCCATGCTGTTAAAAATGAGTAGGTATCAGTAACGGTCGATCATCAATCTCTAAATGTACAAAATATAACAATTATCATGCATAAACTGAAGAAAGTTTTAGGAGACGCAAATATTAACTTACTTTTATATAACCCTTTTTGATTCATCGATTGATAACTGGGAATAGGACGAAGAATTACAGAAGTCGTATTTATGACCATGAATTCACCGTCTGTGAGATAGGCATCGTTGGTGTAGATGCTGATATTATAATCGGAGTTTGAGTATAGATTGACTAATTCAGAACTCAATGTGGTAAAAGAGCGATATGGGAACTCTTCTGTTACAAGTTTAATGTCTTTCGAACTAAATGGATCCACATAATAATCTAAAGTTCTTCAAATTGTATTTAGAAAGAATTGTAAACTTGATAGCAAATGTTTGGGTGATGTACAATCTGAAATTATTTTACACTTCTTAGCACTAAAATCAAAAACTTCTCCTTCACTCCATTGAAATCAAGCCGCCTGATAAGCTCACTCGAAATTTCATTTACCATCTCAACTTTTCAAATTTCGCCTGTATGGTCATAATAATCTCCATCTGGACACTTTTTTCAAAGCTTTCCTTCAACTCCTTCGGAGTGATAACCATCCAAATGAATTTTCTCTTGGTGCAAACACATATAATCTTGTCAAGTGTCTCAATCATAAGGGCCAGAACAAGTCTTTCATGATCCATGACACGGTAATCAGCCTCCATCTCGATAATAATACCCTCATAGCACCCTTGCTTATACATAGAGGCTACTGCCACCACAAAGCCTACTACTAAAATGATCTTTTCCTCATATTTATTATATTATTTTAATTTCAAGTCACCATGCCACCTATGGGGTTTTGGGGTTTTGGGGTTTTGGGGTTTTGGGG